CTTGGTGGCTTAAACTCACGCTGGGCGTGTGTGCGTGCATGCCCAAGATCCCGAGAGGAGAATGGAGTATATGGGAGTTCAGTGTGACCATCCCCCCTGGGGGTGATTTCTCACTTTCTGTCTCTGTGTCTCTCTCTTTCTGGCGAGCACACGTGCCCTATACCATAAACCACTCAAAAAATTAAAATATTTTTAAAATATTTATTTATTTAATAGAAAAGAGGATGAAGCAATATGATAATCATAGGAAATTGGAGTTTTATGAATAAGTAAGACATGTACTATGGGCTTCCTGGTAGTCAAAGCAAGAGACAGTTTACATAGTTGTAATTAATAGAAAGGAGGAAGTGTGGAGCAGCTTCTCAAGGTGACAAAAAAAAAAAAAAAAAAAAAAACCCAGCTCTGAGACCTTTTAGGGGACTTTGCATGTCATGACAGCAAAGCCCTTGACAACAGCTGCACAACAAATATTGAAGTAGTTTCAGTATTGCTACGCTTTATATTTGAAACCAAACTTAGTGAAGATGATCTCCTAAAATATGAACTGATTTTTCTAATAGAACCATTTTTTCTTCTCTTATTTTTACCATACCCCCACCCCTGTTTTTCTTTAAAGTTTTCTTTCACATCACAGTATGGATGAGCTAGCTCTGTTTTTAGTCCTTGGCATCATTTTGCTTTTCCTCAGTTAACTGTTTCCCACTGGAGAAATGTAGGACTTACTTTTATTTGCTTTTGAAGTCCATGATCTTTTGAAGGCCTCAGATCTGCCCTATCTTGTTTTGACATTTTATTTTCCCTGAAGTGACTCTTGTTGAATAAGGAGAGATGATAGACCGAAGATACCCTGGAAGGAGTACAAGACTAGAACTTGTGTGTTGATATTATCGACTGTGGGCAAAGGCCATTTTTCTATGTTTACACAGCTGTAAAAATACTGATGAAACTTGGTGCTTAGAGTATTATGGGGCAGGTATGGGTGTGGATAGAAAACTACGAAGTGCTCTGTCTCTTCCTGTGAAATAAGCTAACAGAGACACCCACCTTTCCAAAGGACTGAATCCCACATTTGTCAAGTTCCTGCAGCTCATGGTCTTCTGCTAGTGTTGTCTGATTTTAGAAGGAATGGTGTGCTGATCTGAACTGAATGGAGATGGCTATTTTTACCATGCAAAATCTGTTTGTGTAAACTTGCATTTCAGTTGTCTTTTTCGTTTTCCCTTTTGGCAGCAAACATTAATGCTTGAGGACACGCTGCCACTCATTTCTGAGAAGCACCAAATATTTGGTTTTTATCTGCATTCAGACAGAATCAGTTTCAAGTTGTTTCTGTAGATATCAAACATAAATATTTAGATAAAACAAACTTATAAATGATGTAATTTACTCCATCATCTGTGGAATTATGAATTTTTCCAATGATAGATTGAAAGATGTCTTGAACACCTACCTTGTTGGGGACAGTATAAAGAGTATTAAGTGTAGAGCAGGGGAATACATTATAAATAAAAGACATGGTGAGAGCCCCCTGTAAACTTCCAGTCTAGTCGAGAAGTAAAGATACTAAATTAATTAGTTAATTTAAAGTAGACTATTTTTAAGAGACATTTTTCATTGTAGTAAAAGTTAAATATCGGTATGACTAGAAAGCTGGGAATACCTTAGAAAAGAGTGTAAAGAAGTTAGAAGAAGGTTGAGAGTAGGTGAATTTAAAACTGAGTATTAAAGAGACAATAAACATGGTTTGATAGGATGACTGAACCAAGGAGGAGGAAAGTTACGCTTATTCCTGGAAAGTTTGTTTGTTTCTGGAACCTTCTTGAGATGGAAAACTTGTCTGATGATTTATATTATGATATTAAAGTATAACTGAGAAGTTAAGGTTTTAAAGTTTCTTTCTTCCAAGAAAGAGAGACATCTTTAACAGGGTCTTCACACCACAGTCCACTCCAGCCTCAGCCAATCAGGATTATAGGTGTGCATGTACAGGCCCTATGCATACAAAGAGGCCTCAGGATACAAACCCCGGCTTGTCATATGGCTTTAGCATTGCAGAGCCCTGCATTTCCATTGTACCGTAGGGTCTAACCTCAAGAAGTAACTTCTAAAACATATCTGAGGTTCTGGTGGATGGCTCATTTATTTCAAGTATTTGAAACAACATTGCAAAATGACAACATTATTGTTATTTTAAAAATATTTATTTATTTATTTAATTCAATTTGTTATTATTATTATTATTTTATTTGCCCAGAGGGAGACAGAGGGAGAGAGAGAAATGGAAAACTGAGAAAGCAAGTCTCCAGGTCTGGGACTCAAACTGCCGTCAGCCAAGTGGGAATCCAGCGCCTTTAACCATTATGCACCTGCTGGCCCCTGACAACATTATTTTTTACTATTTTTGATGTGTTACAGTGATCAATATCCATATTATATATAGATGTATGTAATTATGTACATATACATACAAAATTTTGTATGTGACCCTAGTAAATTCCTTGATGTTAACGTAATTCTTTTTATGATTAATCTCCTGTCTATCATCCTCAGTTACATCTCAGTAACATCTTCAGATGTTTCATTTAAAGCATTATAATTTAGTTTTCTATTTCAAGAATTTTACATTTTAAAAGTAATTTTTCTTTGCTTTTATTTACAAATTAAAAAATCTTAAGAACTCTTCTAATCTTTTAAATTTAAAACTTAAAAGTTTTTTCCTTTTTTAATTTTTCCATTTATTTATTTTTTTTACTGTCATTCACTTTACATCAATACAATATACAAAATGAGACTTTTCCATCCAGAATGCATTGTATATTGGCTCAATCAAGGATATTACCATACATGTTATCATGAACAAATAATTTTTTACTTCTTGTTTCTTACATATTTTGTTCCCCCCCACCCACCCCTTGATTTGCTCCCTCTCACCCTCTGCTAATTCTTCCCCTTCTCCTACATTGTCTCTGTATGTATAGTTGTTTTCTGTGGCTTTTCCCCCCACATTTTATTGATGCTCTAATGATCTTAATTAATTTAAAAACTTTCCATAGCAAGCACAGCTGATATATACATATCTATGAATGCATGTCTGACTTTAGGTGTAAATCTCAGTGAGTAAAGTGAACATACTATAAAGTAGCATCTTATGGGAGTTGTACTATCTCACTGCAGTCATTAAATAGGTATTAATAGGTATTTTTTAAATGCATTTTTTATTTCAAGAAAAACAGATTTGGTTTGACGAGATCAAAATAAAAAAAATGTTAAGAGAAATTTGCTTAAAACTTAAAGCCAGGGAAAAGGTTAGGATTCAGTTCAAATAGTAGGTAGATGGACCTGTCAAGAGTTCAAGAGAAGACAAACATCCTTAAACATAGAAATCGAAGCATTGAAGAAAATCAGTAATTTTTTAGTCTAAAGTAAAAAATATTCAATTTCACTAGCTCAGACTCATGTAATTAACCTCTCTTCTACTGAATTTGAATTTGCAGTGTTACTATGGTCTGTTCTTTTCACTTAAACTCTAGAAGTTAATGTTCAACTCTGGACTTGTCCCTACCATTAGGCTGGCCATTTTCTTGCTGGTTGTTTTTTGTACTCTTATTTCTGTGTGTCTGACGTTAGTTTTCCTGGTATAGCACTCCCTTTAGCACTTCTTGAAGAGTTGTTGTGGTGTTGGTAAATTCTTTCAGATTTTGTTTATCTGAAAATGTTTTTCTCTCCCCCCCCCCGCCCCATGATGGGTAATCATGCTGAGTAAAATATTCTTGGTTTAAAGTGTTTTTCACTTAACACGTTGAATATATTTCCCATTATTTCCTTTCTCACATTGTTTCCAATGAGATGTATGACGTTAGCCTGATGGGATATTCTTTGAAAGTAACTTGATATTTCTCTCTTGCCGAATTTTAGTATCTTGTCTCTGTCTGTGGTTTTGGTCAATCTGGCTATGATGTGCCTAGGGAAGATCTTCTTGGGTTGATTCTATGTGGGGTCCTTTGTATTTCTTGAATCTGGACATTTGAATGCCTCTCTAGGTTGGAAAGTTTTCTTTCAGAATTTCATGGAATAGATTATTAATGCCCTTATTAGTTTCTTTGTCTTCTGGGATACCGATGATCTGGGTATTTGGGTGTTTAATGGTATCTAGTAGTACTTGTATGGTTTCCTTATTTTTAAAGGGGTTTGGAAGCTACATTTATAAAAACCTGAGAAGTGGGTCTTCTCTTATATATATATACACAAAATATTTTTTAATAATATTGTAGAAATAATCCATTTAGACCTACTCCCCTAGGACAATGACTTAGTTGTGATGCAAAGGATTAGCCTATATTTTTTCAGTCATATTGCTTCTCTCAGTAATTCATTATTTATTTATTCATTCATTCATTCATCAGATATGTAATAAGTACTTACTAAATGTAAGGGAATGTGCTTGTTTTTGGACAGATGTTTTCAAAGGTGCCACAAAAGTGAATAAATTATGAGACTTATGACTTAAGACAAAAGTAGAAGAAAGTATTCATTTCCATAAGTAATTATGGAAGGATTAAGTAATGATCTTTAGGAATTTGTAACTAATACATAAAACTTAGATCCCTTCTGGAAAGATAGGGTGGGTATTTCAAAAATACTTTTGTACTGAAGCTGAGCTATTTGTATTTTTGTGCACAAAGTATGTTTCACTCCTTTGCATTTAGTAAAACAAATGTGATTGATGCTATCTGTTGTCAGCTAAAAATGCCTAGAATATGCTTAGTTTTTTCAGGGAATTGTTATTTATTTATTTTTTTGTAGTTAAAATGTAGAAGTTAGTAAATACCTATTAAAATGACAAAACATGGGGGACTGTCTACTCACAAAGCTCAATTTCATTTCTCTACTTTTTATTAAAGATACCTTAGTTGTAGTAATGCCATATTTTTTGAGAAGTGTTTATCGTGATCTTTGATCATACATATTTTTTAATTGAATATTATGATTCATTGTTTCAGAGGCAAAATTGCTGAAGGCTTGGAGGATTTAAAACGTGTTAGTCCAGTAGGAGAGACATATATCCATGAAGGGTTGAAGCTGGTAAGTTCTTAATATATTTATCTGTATGGAAGAAGATGTGTGTTTAGTCTGTAATGAAGTAAAACTCTCCAGGAAAGCTCAAAGACTCCATAACATACTTGTCTTAAAACAATCTTTTTAAAATGCTATTACCTACTTTGGAGGCGAGATGGATTAAAATCAAGTTTTGAATCTATTTTGGATAGAACATTATCCAAAATGGTAGAAAACGTTATTTACTGTGGCGGTAAGAAAAGTCTGGATGGCATCTTGGCTTTTAAGGAATTTTTTATTTTCTCTATTCAGAGCAGTCAGCTGCAACTAAAACTGTATCATTTAGAACCAATATTAACTATAATGTGAATATATCCATATTTTAGATAAAATAGTTAACACAAAACACCCAGTTTTGAAAACTAGTTAATAATATTTTGATTTTTGTCATACTTCAAAATTCTGCTTCATGGAACATGCTGGTTAAAAGTTAAAATTAAATTGTGAGTTGGGATAATTATTCTTCATTTTCAGGCGAATGAGCAAATTCAGAAAGCAGGAGGCTTAAAAACCTCCAGTATCATAATTGCTCTGACAGATGGTAAGTTGGACGGTCTGGTGCCACAATATGCAGAGAAAGAGGTGAGTATTGAACTGAAACAGTTCTTTACACCCCACTGTACTTTGCTGTGTGTCTGCATGTATAGCTCGATGATTTGAAGAATTCACTTCCTCTCTCTCTTTCTGTCTCTCTCTCTCTTTTTCCCAATAGGCAAAAATCCAGGTCACTCGGGGCTAGGGTTTATTGTGTTGGTGTCCTTGATTTTGAGCAAGCTCAGGTGAGTTACCACAGACCTGCAAACTTTAAATCACATAAGTATCTTAAGGATAGTTTAACACATTCTTTTTATTGATGACATTATGATACGAATCCATTTTTAAAGATTTTCTGTAAAACTGGCCCGATGTCTTGAACTCTACCTTAATAATATCGGAATTTTGGTAAGTTGTATTACTGAAAATGAAACTACATTTCTTGGACATTTGTTTGGTTTGGGGAACTAATGTAAGCTAAACATTGGATTGAAATACCTCAATACTCTTCTTCACCTCAACTGACAAATTATATAACAGCTTATTTAGCGTTTTCATTTTGATTTAAAATTTGACTCAGGAGTACAGGATTTGAAAAATCCATTTAAAAGCCTACTAAACCAACTTTTTCATTAAGTTTTGAGGGTTTATATTTAAAACATTTTTTTTTTAACCCATGAAATCATTTTACATTTAATTTTTACTGGAGTCTCAGGCCATTCACAGCCAGTAGAGCCCTATACTGTTTTGAAATTGCAACTTGGAGCTAATGTGAAAGGGCTATAACTGATGTTGGTTCCTTTTATGGTGATCTATTTAGAGTTACAACTCTCTTCCTGGCCTTGAGCTGGTACATTGTTCCCGCAATTTTTCAGCTGAAGATAACTGAAACAAAATGAAATTGATAAGATGTTATGTTGCTGTTGTGCACTGCTGAATTAAAGTTTTTCTTTTTTTTTTTTTCCTTAAGCTTGAAAGAATTGCTGATTCCAAGGAGCAAGTTTTCCCTGTCAAAGGTGGATTTCAAGCTCTTAAAGGAATAATTAATTCTGTGAGTGTTTCTCCAGAGGGTAGGGGGGCAGGAAAGGCTCATCATTTTACATGTATTTTAAACTATATGAAGGAATCATAATATCCAGTGCAAGTGGTCATTCATTCATTCATTATCTAAAAGAAAGAGAAAAAGAAAGAGGTTTGTATGGTATTTCAACTGCACCGTAATTTTAAAGCCCTGAATTTTGTTTGTAAATGAAATTTGGTATTAATTCTTGCTTATTGGGCTCTGTGAGCCTGGGTTTATGATTTTAAGTTTTAGATTTTCATAAGCTGTCTCAGACACTTCCACCTTTTCAGGATGGAGTTAACCGTCTTGATATCCTGAAAGTTTTATAGACTTTATAGAAGAAATGTAAATAAAATGTGGATTGGAATGTGTGATTATTTCCTCCTCCAAATATGGGATTTCTTAGCTATCAGGCAACTTGAACCAGCAACTGAGTGTCTGACTGCGGTTGTTGTTCTTTCCATTTAAATGATTAATAGTTTCACTGGAGCACATAATATTTCTGTTTGGAATTCAGAGCTGTCTCTGGTGATCATTAGAATCTGGGCGATCCTAAACAGGGTATGGGGAAAGGGTAGTGATGAAATGCAAAGCAAAACTCCTGGGCCTTCACAGCTGAGGTTTATGTTTCATTTTACTGCCTTTTGCTAGAAGCACTAGGAACAGTTGCTATTAAGTATTTATGATATTTTGGTAAACACCATCCTAAAATGGGAGGGAATAATATATATTCTCTAAGCCACAGCTTTCCCTTTAATCTTTAGATATTTAGTAAATAAAAAAAAAAAAAAGCAAAACTCAAGTTTCTTCTAATATTTGGTTCTGGCATTTAAATTTTCTCCTTAAAGATCATGGTTTTCAAAAATGCAGAGTGAGATTTATTAAATTTGTTTTCAGTAGCATGTAGGCGTTTTTTTTAAAAACAATTAATGGAGCTTTGCAGAGGAAACATAATTTGGTTTTCATAAATCAGTACTTCTACTGGACAAATCACAGTGAGAACATATAATTTGGTTGCATTATATATATCAGAACTTATAGTGGACAAAGCAAATATAATGAAGAATAAAATAGAAATTTCAATTATTTTAGGAGTTTGTGTAGATTATTGCATTTAGTTTTTAGAAAAAATTATGGTGTAAAAAGTAATAAATAATTTTATTGCTAGATTCAGGATAAATCCTCTATAACCATAATTTAATTTTTAAAATATTGGAAAAGGAATAGACAATGCCAAAGGAAGGATAATTTGACTCTCTAAATAAACAAGTCATTGGATTGTATTTTAGATAGAATTGTATTATGTTTGGGAGTTTGTAATTCTTTCTATAATTATACTAAGAAGGAGAAAAGACCTCCTTGGGTTATTTCCTTTGGAATTTTATAAGTTTTTAAAAAATTAACTAATTAACTAGTTAATTAATTAATTTTAATTTGACCAGAGAGAGGCAGAATAAGAGAGAGAGAGAGGGAAAGTGAGAAAGCAAGCCACCAGGTCCGGGACACAAACCACACAAACCACGATTGGCCATGTGGGAGTCCAGTGCTCTTAACCACCTGGACCTGGTGGCTTGAAACTCTTGCTACATGCGTGTGTGTGAATGCCAAGCATGCTGAGAATCTCAGGAAGAGAATGGAGGAGAAGAGATTGTGGCATGGCCATTCCCCTCTGGGGAGTGATTTCTCACTTTCTGTCTCTCTTTCTCTGTTTCTCCAGCAAGTACAAATGCTCTATAGAAAAAAATCTCTCTCTCTCTTAAAAAATTTAGTCATTGATATAAGAGAATATAAAGATATTTTTATTGTTGTTTTATGTATTTGATAAATTTGACTTGGCTATTTGGATTAGAAAAAACTTTGGAATGTAAATGTTAAGTACATTTGTTCTTTCCTGAAGTTCTCGATGGACTTTAGTTTGAGTAAATTATGTTGAAAGATTTAGCATGAATTTAGAGAGAGACTTGCATTATTTTTGCTATAGATTGCCAATGAAAATCCCTTGAGTTTCATCTAGAAAGGGATGATGGGTACAGCTTTTAGGTCAATATAGTTCAACCTTAGCTATTTCGTCACAAAAGGAGGAGTAAATTATCTCAGAGAAGCCAGCCTCTGAGAGGTGAACCAAGGCAGCAGGGTTGGCAGGTATGAAACAGGATCCATTACAACCAAACCTGATCTCATTAGTGGTTGAGATTCTTATCTGTGTGATGATAGCTTTGGATTTTTGCCTACTTTGTTGAAATTTAACATAATTTAAGCATTTCATCTCTCTTTAAGGACAGACATTGCTCTACCCCTAATAGTATATGAAACCTATAATTCTGCCTCAAATTTGAATTATATTGGGCCATTGGGAAAGTCATGACTCATTTTTGCATAGAAAAAGAAGAAAAACACGTCATGACTTTCCCAATGACCTAATACTTTATACGTATGTAATACTGTCTTATTTTGGAAAAATATATTTGATCTTTAAAATAAATATAGTATATCCCTCACAGGGTGAGTGTAGATAGAAGAGGGTATTTCTCTGTTCTTTATAATCTATCAAACCAATGGATTAAACTGTACTGTGGAGTGTTTTAATACAAAACTTAGCAAATGGGAAAAAAATTAGAAAATTTGCCTTTCAGATATTTGGCGTTATGAAAGCAAAATATTTGCTAAATTGATAGATAATTTATTTTTTTGCTAGATATTTAACTATATCTCATATCATTAATTGTCACTGCATTTATTTCTTTTGAGTTAATTTTTGAGAAAATTGGTAACATGGTTTTCTTTCTTTTCCCTCCTTGCTTCCCAAAATTCAGTGACTGAGATGGTGTTTCCCTTACTGTGTAAGATATATGTCAAAACATCATTTGTCAAGAACTAGTTTCTTTTTTCTGAAATGATTTAATTTAACTTTATTTATTTATTCATTTTTAAAAATTTGATGAGAGTGAGACACAGAGAGAGAGAGAAAGGGAAAGTGAGAAAGCAAGCCACAAGATCTGGGATTCAAACCATGGCTGGCCTTGTAGGAGTATCCAGTGTCTTAACCACCATGCCACCTGCTGGTCCCTAGAACCAGTTTCTTTCCTTCTTTCTTTTTTATTTTTTTAATCTCTTTATTTAATTTAATTTAATTTAATTTAATTTAATTTAATTTAATTTTGTGATTTCTTTTTTTTCTTTCATTTATTTATTTTTATATTTTTCCACAAACATTTACTTTACATAGCAAAAAATTTTAGCTCATACTCCATAATTCTTGACAGTTTACAAACAACTTTCAAAATTTCAAAATACTAAATTTTAAAGATAATATTCAAAATATGTCTTATAATTTTGTATAATTTTATGACTCTATATAACAACAGAAGCAGTATGGTTTCATACTATATATATATATATATATATATATATTTTTTTTTTTTTAGAGATGGATGAATAGTATTCCATTGAGTATATGTGCCACAGTTTTTCTAACCATTCATCAGTTCGTGGGCATTTAGGTTGTTTCCATGACTTAGCAATCATGAAAAGTGCTGCAATAAACATTGATGTGCAAGCACTTTTTCGATTAAGTATTCTTCTGTCCTTCGAGTAGATACCAAGGAGTGGGATTGCTGGATCATATGGTAGTTCTATTTGTAGATTTTGTAGGAATCTCCAAATTGTTCTCCACAATGGTTGAACCAATTTACAATCCCACCAGCAGTGTAAGAGAGTTCCCTTTTCACCACACCCCCTCCAGCACTTATCATTTTTTGTTTTTTTAATCTTAGACATTCTGACTGGGGTTAGGTGATATCTAGAACCAGTTTCTTAATCAGCAAAGATGGAGGTTTCATTTTGGAGACTACCTCACAGTAGCTGAGTAAAGAAGATACACTATAGTAGTTATGTTTTTTATAACTTAAATATCAGGAACTGAAAGTGACCTTTGTAAGAACATCCTGAATGTTAACAATTTAATACCTTTTTATAATATTTCTTAGATTCAGAAATCATTTAAATATGCATTTTCATCTTTGGGAAAATGTATTGTTTCAACATTTTTATCTTTCTATCCAGGCAAACACGAAATGTAAATTTTTTTGAATATTGGTATAATTTCTAATCTTAACTGGCACCTATAAAGTTTTATACTTCATTAGTATCTTAAGTAGATACTGGCAAGAAAAAATTTATTTCCTCTTTTTCTTTCTTCTTTCTTCAGTTTACTCTTTCTTTCATTCGCATTTGCCAAGCTCTTATCATCCTTGAGGCATTGTGTTAAACTTGGGAAAAGTTACAAAAACTTAAATAAGACAAATTCTGTTCCAAAGGAGCTTAAATAATGATGATTCGTTGTTTGGAATTTGGTAGTTCCCTGCAAGATTTACAGAGTATTGTGGGGATTTGGAGAAGGAGAATTTCAATGAGTCACCCTACAGGATTAAAAAGAACCTTTTTTAAATGCCAGTGTGGCTAGAATGTCAGTTGACGTAAAGACAGGATAAGTTTCATTATTTAAAGTTACACAAGAATTTTCATGCTGGGATTTGAACTGGGCTCTGACAATTATAGTAGATTTAATTACAATAGGAACACAGAACTTCAAGAACAGCTGGGGTGAGTGACAGAGTACAGGAAGGAATGTGGTTTGGAGAAAGATGGGGGATAAATATTGACAGTCTGGATCTAGATTATGGAGTCCCTTGCACATTTGGATTGAGAATTGGCACTTATCAGGGAGCCATAGAAGGCTAATTTAGTCAATGAGATTTATGTGATGACCATGAAGGTTCAGGAAGAGTACTCTTACAGCAATGTATAGGATGATTTGGAAGATGCAGAGGTGTGTTCTAAGTCTCTTGTAGTTGACTTAGTGACATTTGGGAAAATAAAACGTACAGTGAAGACAACTTGGAATTGGAAATAGGAAAAGCTTGGTATGAATTCTGCTACCTAATCAAGTGACTTGGGGTACATCCTGTAATGTAATTTTTCTGAGTTTT